ATATTTATCAGAGCTGACTCATGAACCAGCAGTGTGTTATATTTATCAGAGCTGACTCATGAACCAGCAGTGTGTTAGGTTCATCAGTACTGACTCATGAACCAGTAGTGTGTTAGGTTCATCAGTACTGACTCATGAACCAGTTATGTGTTATATTTATCAGAGCTGACTCATGAAGCAGCAGTGTGTTAGGTTCATCAGTACTAACTCATGAACCAGTAGTGTTTTGATTCATCAAGATATAATTCTTTACAAACCAGAAATAAATCTAAAATGTTTTGATCTCGTCGATAGTTTTCAATAAAAAGGTGAAAGTGAAACATTATTCATGCCAGAGTATAAATATTTTAGTTGTGCGGTTTAATTAATGAAGAATAGAGGATTAAATTTTCCAAAACTCTTTCAATTTGACGTTTCCTGCAACTACAAAGTATTTACAGTTAACAAACTAATCAGTATTGCGTCAAAATTTGATTAACCCTAATTTATAGAACATTCTAATTATTCGAAGGTTTAGTTTTATGACATGTACTCCTAGTCAGACGCTATATTATATTATCTTCATTATCTCCTGTGTTAAAGTTTAGTTCTGGGAGATCAATGGATCAACAATGTATTGAAAGTAAAAAAAAATAATTCTATATATGATATACATACGTCACATTATATTGTTGTTATCTACTACAGTTAACCGGAGTCTAAAACATCTCAAGTTCCATTATAAAACCAGCGATATGAATACATAATGTTTGTTGCTGCTCGTATAAAGCTCAAAGTCCTCGTAAGGATTATCAAAATATTCTTTTTAAATTTATATATATATATATAGAGAGAGTGAAGTAATTTGGTGTAATAATTTTATTTACAACACCTTTTACTATTATTAACTTTAGTACAGATTCTGTTTAATATCATTTTCGACTTTAAGAAATAATGATAGCTGTCGTAATATATATATGCTTGTAATTAAGGAGAAAACAAAATAAGATAACATAACTTAAATGTTTCTTCCTGTCTTATGATAACACAAAACATAATGATTTGTATAACTACAAAAAATAAAGCTTGTACGTTTTCAGGAAAATATTAAGCTATAAACAATTGTGTAAATGTTTTTAATACTTTTCGTTTAATGAATGGAGTTCTATTGTAGGGGGTGTTGTAATCGTAGTGTATTAACTAACCATTAGAAGGGAATCTACGCGAACGGAACGTTTTTTTCATTGTTCGTCTGTTTAGGTTATAGGATTAGGGTGTTTTTGTAAGCACATATCTAGTCATGTTATATCACTGACTTACGTCACATGTTAGTGTTAGCTTTCTCTTTGTTTACCACCATTTTGTATAGAGAAGCATTTTTGTGAAGGTGTATTTAAATTACTACTAATACACACACACAAAACAGACGATAAGACTCCCTAAATGAGTCAAGTTTTAATATTGATAATTCGTTGTTTATGTGTCGTTGAAAAACCAAAACTGTTACATTACTTTTTGTTTACAATAACAGATTTCATTCTTAGGTTTACAGAAAATTAAAGCAGCACAGTGACGTAATGTTAGACTTAAGATAACGAGTTCAGTTATAGAAACCAATATTAAGTTTCAATGTTACCCCACCCTCGGAGTAGGCCAGTTAATATGTTGTGTTTTAATTTTAAAAACATGACTATTTCGCGGGAATATTCACAGCAAACTTAACGTGCTTTGTTTTCTTCTATCGAGGGAGGACAATGTATTGTTAATAAAACAATAAAATGAATGTCCTTATAAGAAGCGTATTTTGTCTATTTGTTTAAAATATATATTTATATATTAGGGGTCATGTAAAAAGATAAAACCCAACACTATTTGTAATCCCCATAGAGTAGTTGAATTTAATTCACCTACAGAAGTTTAAAAAAAAGAATAATACGTCTAGCTACTAAGTCATTAAACTGTGTATTGTTATAACAAAAAATACGACAGGTTACTAAATCGTTAAACTGTGTATTGTTATAACAAATAATACGTTTAGTTACTAAATCATTAAACTGTGTATTGTTATAACAAATAATACGTTTAGTTACTAAATCGTTAAACTGTGTATTGTTATAACAAATAATACGACAGGTTACTAAATCGTTAAACTGTGAATTGTTATAACAAATAATACGACAGGTTACTAAATCGTTAAACTGTGTATTGTTATAACAAAAAATACGACAGGTTACTAAATCGTTAAACTGTGTATTGTTATAACAAATAATACGACTGGTTACTAAATCGTTAAACTGTGTATTGTTGTAACAAAAAATACGTCTGGTTACTAAATCGTTAAACTGTGTATTGTTATAACAAAAAATACGACAGGTTACTAAATCGTTAAACTGTGTATT